GAAGAGAAGTGGGAGTGGGGTTCTTAATTCACAGAAACATAGATGGCAACATAGAGGAATACTATAGCATTATTGAGAGGGTGGTAGGTATCGTAATTAAACTGAATAAAACATACAAGATGAAGGTAGTACAGGCTTACGCACCTACATCCAGCCATGATGACGCTTCAGTTTAAAGCTTCTATGAAGACGTGAAATCGGCAATGAGTAAGGTAAAAACACACTATACTATAGTGATGGGCGACTTTAATGCAAAGGTAGGGAAGAAGCAGGCTGGAGACCAGGCAGTAGGAGATTATGGAATCGGTACTAGAAACGCTAGAGGAGATCTACTAGTAGAATTCGCAGAACGCAATAATTTACGGATCTTGAATACCTTCTACCGAAAACGAGAAAACCGCAAGTGGACATGGAGGAGCCCTAATGGCGAAAATAAGAACGAAATAGACTTTATAATGAGTGCACACCCAGGAATCATGCAGGATGTGGAAGTGGTTGGCAAGGTACGATGCAGTGACCATAGAATGGTACGGTCTCGAATTTGCCTAGACTTGAAGAAACAACGACCGAAACTGATACGCAAAAAGCCAATCAATGAGCTAGCACTGAGAGGGCAAGTACAGGAATTCAGAGTGTCGCTGCAGAACAGGTACTCGGCTCTTAGTGAGGAAACCAACCTTAGAGTAGATACAATGAATGATAATCTGACGAGTATCATTACGGAGTGTGCAGTGGAAGTTGGAGGCAGGGTAGTTAGACAGCACACTGGCAAGCTTTCTCAGGAAACGAAGAACCTAATTAAGAAGCGTCAAATCATGAAAGTGTCAAGTACAACAGACAAAATAGAACTAGCAGAGCTTTCGAAGTTGAATAATAGACGTAAGGTACGCGATATAAGAAGGTATAACATGGAGAAAAATGAACGTGCTCTGAAAAACGGAGGAAGCGTCAAAGCAGTGAATAGGAAACTTGGAATAGGCAAAAGTCGGATGTATGCACTAAGGGACAAAGAAGGCAAAATAACCAATATGGATATTTAGTTAAAATAGCGGAGGAGTTTTACAGAGATCTATACAGTAGCCGAAACAACCACGAACTTAATACTATAAGAACTAGCTGTAACCCAGATGACACCCCACCAGTAATGATAGAAGAAGTCAGAAAAGCTTTGGAAAGCATGCAAAGAGGCAAAGCTGCTGGTGAGGATCAGGTAACATCAGATCTGCTGAAAGATGGAGGACAGATTGTGTTAGAAAAACTAGCCACCCTGTTTACGAGGTGTCTCCTGACGCAAAGAGTACCAGAGTCTTGGAAGAACACTAACACCATCTTAATACATAATAAAGGAGATGTCAAGGACTTGAACAATTACAGGCCGATCAGCTTGCTCTCTGTAGTATACAAGTTATTTACAAAGGTAATTTTTAACAGGGTAAAGAAAACATTAGAATTCAATCAACCAAAGGAACAAGCAGGATTTCGAACAGGCTACTCAATGATTGACCACATTCATGCTATCAATCAGGTAATAGAGAAATGCTCAGAGTAAAACCAATCACTATACATAGCCTTCATAGATTACGAGAAGGCGTTTGATTCAGTAGAAATATGAGCCGTCATGCGGACACTGCGGAACCAGGGCGTAGATGAAGTATATATAAACATCCCGGAAGAAATCTACAGGGGATCAACTGCTACCATAGTGCTTCATAAAGAAAGCAACAGAATACCAATCAAGAAGGGTGTAAGGCAGGGGGACACAATCTCCCCAATGCTATTTACCGCGTGCTTACAGGAGGTTTTCAGAAGCCTAGAATGGCAACAGTTAGGGATAAAATTTAATGGAGAGTACCTTAGTAACCTGCGCTTCGCCGATGACAATACATTGCTGAGTAACTCAGGGGACGAATCGCAACTCATGATTACAGAGTTATACAAGGAGAGCAGAAAGGTGGGTCTTAAAATTAAGCTCCAGAAAACGAAAGTAACGTACAACAACCTCGGAAAAGAGCAGCGCATCGAGATAGGTAATAGTGCAGTTCGAGTTGTAAAAGACTATGTCTACTTAGGGCAGCTAATAACCGCGGAGCCGAACCACGAGATTGAAGTAACTAGAAGAATAAAAATGGGGTGGAGCACAATTGTCGAGCACTTTCAAATTATGACAGGTGGATTGCCACTATTCCTCAAGAGGAAGGTATGTAACAGCTGTATCTTGCCGGTACTTAGCTACGGAGCAGAAACCTGGAGACTTACAAAGAGGGTTCAGCTTAAATTGAGGACGACGCAGCGAGCAATGGAAAGAAAATGGTAGGTGTAACCTTAAGAGACAAGAAGAGAGCAGAGTGGATTAGGGGACAAACGGGGGTTAAGGATATCATAGTTGAAATAAAGAAGAGGAAATGGACATGGGCTGGGCATTGGGCGCGTAGACAGGATAACCGCTGGTCATTAAGGGTAACTAACTGCATTCCCAGAGAAGGGAAGCGGGTTAGGGGGAGACAGAAGGTTAGGTGGGACGACGAGATTAAGAAGTTTGAGGGGATACATTGGCAGCACCAAGCACAGGACCGGGTTAACTGGCGGAACATGGGAGACGCCTTTGTCCTGCAGTGGACGTAGTCAGGCTGATGATGATGATGATGATGATATAGAGGCCTTTCTCAAGACGTACTTTGGTATTTCGCAGGCATTTGTAGTAAGCAGAAAAACACTAACGAGCAACTACTTCACCGGTATAAAGTTTTAAAAGCTCTATACAGACGTTTTGAAAACCGACGTTCAACTTTGTCACTGAAACTTTTCATCCATCTTCGTTCCTTCAAAATTTGGTTAATCAAATAAATACACTAAAAACTTACTTTAAAACACAAAAAATAGTATCAATAACTCCAGGCAACACTCAACAGCATGCCACGTCGTAATTCCGTGTGTCGGCATATTTTAAAACTCCTGCTAAGGATAGCTGCGGCAGACTATATATATATATAAATAAATAAATATACATATATATATATATATATATATATATATAATATATATATATATTCAGTCAAGTGGATCTTCCGTGAGTGGTCACAACGTGGTTTATTTCGACGTTTCGGCCTAGAGTCTGGTCTTCATCAGGATTGAAGGTACAGTTTCTTGGTGCTCAGCTTTATACAATCTCTATTCAGAGGGGGGAGAGATAAAAGGGGGAAAAGGACAGAATATTGCAGCGCTACGTGAAAACTTGTCGTCAATGTCAACGGCGCAAAACTCCAGCCGTAAAACCAGCCAACCTTCTCCATCCAATAGACCCTCCGGATGCCCCCTTCCAACAAGTCGGCATGGACTTCTTAGGACCTTTCCCGACATCATGTGCAGGCAAGAAATGGATTGTCATGGATACAGACTATCTGACCCGTTATGCTGAGACTGACTCTCTGTACAGTGCGACAGCAGCCGAAGTCGCCAAGTTCTTCGTGAATAACATAGTGCTCAGACATGGTGCACCCATCGTAGTTATTAAGGATCGGGGCACCGCATTTACTGCAGACCTTATGCAATGTCTGATGCGCATGACAAATACCGATCACAGAAGAACAACGGCGTATCACCCTCAGTCAAATGGCATAACCGAACGCCTCAACAGAACTCTGACCGACATGCTGTCAATGTATGTCGATGTTGAACATAAACAGAGGGATGAAATATTACCCTACGTAACATTCGCATATAATGCAGCCGTTCAAGAAACAACCCACGTTGCCCCTTTCGATCTAATATTCGGCCGAAGAGTGACCACTCCACTGGATGCCATGTTACCACTACAGGACGAAAACAGCTATCTACCTTACTTGGATGACTTCTTGCAAAGAGCCGAAGAAACACGACCAATGGCAAGATACCGAATACGCCGTCAACAGCGCGTCGACTCTAGTCGGTACAACAAGCGACGCAGTGACGCACTTTATCATCCTGGTGACAAAGTGTGGATATGAATCCCAGTGCGCCGCCGCGGACTCTCTGAAAAGCTTCTTTGTCGATACTTCGGCCCTTATGAAGTACTCAACCGTATCAGCGACGTCACTTATGAAGTCAGATCCGTGGTACACGTGAGCTCAAGACGCCGCAATAAATACCACGGAAGTGGTACACGTAGTCCGCATGAAGCCCTATCATGACAAATTGTCGGAAAACGAGTGAGAGGGCGCATGTATCATTTCACTCTCTCAAGCATCGGGACGATGTGTCTGAGGAGGGGGATAATGCCGCGACAGGTTGGCCACGTTCAAGTAGCCGCCGCAATCATCATGGCAAGAGCACCAGCAAGACCCGGCTGGCATGAGCCACGCGTTCGTGCGCTCCAAGAACGAGGAAGAGGAAGTTAGTTGAATCTGTGCCTTTCGGCTACTCGGACTTGACGACCATAGTCATTAGACTTGCCCTAATAAAGTTGCTTGTTTTTTTTTATTAAACATATTGTAGCGCTACGTGAAAACTTGTCGTCAATGTCAACGGCGAAAAACTGTAGCGATGCTGAGGCAGACAGGCTAAAAAAACAAGCAAATTTATTAGGGCGAACTTGTGCCCACAAGTCTAATGACTATGGTCGTCGAGTCCGAGTAGCCGAGAGGCGCAGATTCAACTAGCTTCCTCTTCCTCGTTGTTGGAGCGCACGAACGCGTGGCGCATGCCAGCCGGGTCTTTCTGGTGCTCTTGCCATGATGATTGCGGCGGCTACTTGAACGTGGCCAACCTGTCGTGGCAATATATATATATATAAATATATATATAAATATATATATATATATATATATATATATATATATACATATATATATATATATATATATATATATATTATATATATATATATATATATATATATATATATACCCGGGACACGGGTTCCTAGTGAACTCTCAGAGCAAAATATATTAGTCGAGCTTCTCTGAGGGAGTTCAATTTTGCACTCACAAAGAAAGCACCAATCGCTGAAGGGAGGCGTCTCTCACCTGAGCTTCCATATGCCAGTCCTAGCAATAGGAAGATTAGCAAGATTTCCTTGTGTAAATGCATTGTGACGCAGAGGATGTGCCGCGCATCAGTCTGACCAAGGTTCTGCACACAACGGCGCTCTTGCAAGCTTTATATCGGTGCCGTGTGAGATAACGCTCACTGGGGAAAACCTTGTTTGCGACAGTCAGGCGCAACGCATATTCTGTGGTTGATTCATCTGCGGATATTTGACTTGGAGGCGTGGAAACCAACAGATGGTCAGACGACTCTTCTATGCAGAAAACGAGAGAAATCACACCGATGGACTACAAGCAGTTTCTGCGGATGAACTTGTTTTGCTGTCGTCAAGCGCATAAAACGATTCATTGAAAGCGCGAGCACAGCGGAATCGATCAAAATCATGTCGCTTGTGTGACGCACTAAGGCGACCGTTAAAGCAAACTTTCCTCAGTAAGGTATTCCTGCTGCGGGGGCTGCAGTTTGAGAGAGACTAAATGCTGAAGGTCCGTGCATTTAGATTTAGAGTCACGTTAAAAACACCAGAAGGTCAACATTTCAAAACCCCTCCACTATGGCATCCCGCAATCACATCGTGACTTTATAACACCAGTAATCAAATATATTATTTAGTCAGATAGCAATAAATCTTTTGTGAAAATTAGCACGAGCATACGCTCACTTCGCAAGATGTATGTAGCTGGCTTTTTACACGCTAAGCACTGCATGAAGGATGATAAAGCGGGGGACCCGGGAACCGTGTTTAATATTTTAGAGTCTTCTGATGAAGTGCGTGCAGAGTTTTGATAAATGAATGAATAAACTTTATTTCAAGTCTGGCAGTTACCTGTCGGTGAGGTGGGAGACGAGGGGATTAACTCGTGTCCTATCCCACCATCCGTCAATGGTGTTGATGCAGCCTAAGGTGACGGTTTGAAGTGCTTCGACCAGGGCGGCTTATTGAAAAGTAGATTTTATTGGATAAATGTGGCCGCTTACGATAAAGCTTCAGCCTTCAATGTCACAAGTACAAATGCCGACATGCCTGATACGCTGCTCAGTTTTTTCCAGTCCAAACAATCGTTGCACTTTGATTGTTTCTTTGTTTCGCTGGGCACAAGTTCATCGAACGAACTGTTCAGTTTCATTTTGACTACAGTTCTGTCATACTATTGACCACGTTACAAAACTGCCGGAGGACAGATTTACGAACTTTTTCAGCAGGCATACGCAAAGCTTCCTTGCAACTAATGCTGCCATTACATCCCTTATGCGTCCAAGAAAAGCTGTACCTTTAGTAGAATGCATTCACTTAGCATTGTTTTTTTTTTGCTACAAAGCGCACTACGCGTCTCTCTCCTATGCACAACCTTCTTGACAGGCGCTTTGCAGGTGTCCCGTCGGCATAAGGAGTGCGCACTTCAGGAGCAGTTTACTTGATGAGATTCACAAACTCCGGCATTTGGCCTAATATTCTTGCACACGGTGTATGAACTGCCATACGTCGGTAAACTTGGAGATACTTCACTTCAAAACTGACGTCATACAGAAAAACCTTTTCAGTGTTTTTCTTCCCATGGCGAAAAAATTGTGTAATCAATAAAGAATGCTCAAGAGCACTCGTGAGCTATCTTTTTGACATCATACGTTTCTTCACTATCTCTAATTTTAGCTCCTTCTAATGCCCGTTGATTTTTATTGTAAACTAGCAGTCTATCAAGAAACGCGCTCGTGTTGTTCAGTCCTATTTAGTTATGTTTTTACTATAGGCGCTGAATAAACTATGAGTGTGCGTGTTGCTTGAGCTGGTGGCCCGCTTACACACTGCAATGGGTCCGAGAGAGAGTGAGAAATAGAGCTTTATGAGAAGATTTTGTGCTTGCCCCGATCCACCACACGAAAACAATACACCAGCTGAGACCACCAGTTTTACCCTAATGTAAATCAACGTCAATACACCATTCCAAGCACACGAGCACCGCCAACGGGTAGTCAAGCACTCACGGGAAAAGTCTTTGCGCTGTGTCTGGATTTCTTAAAGAGTGCATTGAAAGTTAACTGCATGCGTAAAAAAACTATATACTAAAATGGTGGTCAAGAGCACGTGTCATACCGAAGCACAAAAATTTTATCAACAAAGGTGGTCGGAAGAAAAAAAACAAGACACCGACTGGAAAAAACATAAATTTTGGGCGTTTTTGGTCCAGGTCTTTTTACCTTACGGCCATGCCTAGTGCTTACCAGACAATCTTTCGTGAAACTCTAGACTTCCTTACTCAACCAAGGCTCGCGTTTGCAATCGATTAGTAAAGCTCAATTTAAACTCTAGACTTCCTTACTCAACCAAGGCTCGCGTTTGCAATCGATTAGTAAAGCTCAATTTCTTGTTTAGTGGCAACCGAAAAGGTGGACTTGCACAAGAGTCGGCGTCATTTGTGACATGGAATGACCCTTAAAGTAATCCCATTCTCTGATTAGGTTGATTATAAACAATTATTGTGCCGTTGATGATGGCGCTACGTTTTCGTAATTGTTGTTATGATGCGAAAAAATACGGCTCCAGTCAATTATTTCAATGCTCACTGGGACGCATGCTGATACATTGACTAGTATGGCCACTGTACTTTTGGTAAAAAAAAGAATTTGAAATCGATTTTTACGCAATTGTCAAAACAACTGGCATGCCTTTGACCGCATTTTTCTTTGCCTTCTGCAGACCCCTGCTATCTTTTGTGCCGTAGCGAACAAAGGTGCCTACGCTTATTTAGGGCACCAAACACAACCCTAACAGCATATCATTTCCCTACACTCCTCGGGTCATGCGACTTCCTACACATATGTAAATAGCTGCTATATTTCTAATTTTTAACTCTATTCATGGGTGAACGTCTGCATCTATCTTCTTTTGCCATGCTAACGCGTTCTCGAAAACCAATGCACTGACGAGCAGCAAAAATACCGCGCCTATTAGAGGCAATCAGTTGCCAGCTGAAAAATATACGGCTCGTCTTATGTGCGCAAGACTTTTTTTTCCTTGCATAAGCGTGCCATCACCATTCTTTGCTTAACAATGTTTGAATGCGCCCACGCAAAAAAACACCGCTTTCGTTGAACCAGCACCATTGCTCGCAAGCATGTCCCATATCAAACCTATAAAGCAAGTACCAATAAACTGCAAATACTCAGAGCAAGACAACAGGTAAGTGAACTCTAGTCCCCCTTCACTACGTATAATTGTTCATCTTGTGAGCTAGTAATTGTCGAATAATCATGAATTCGGTGTTCGAGCTAACGTTGCTCACGATAGCACACACTGACTGCATATATCGGCGCGTGCTCACTCACATGCCGCTGAAATGTTATATTCTGTATACATCTGCTCAAAAATGCCTTCACTCATTGCATCACTTCTTTCACATCTCATGAATAGAGGTACATCCAAGTGCGTTCTCAATTGTGTAGTATTTACGTTTGATAGCAGCCAAAGATCAGCCATACAGTTTTGTTTGGTGCTTTCACCCGTCACAAACATTTGTACTAAATGCCAATAAACGTTTTATTAGGAAAAGTTGGCAGAACCTATTGACTGTAAGTTCACCGTCCTAAGAATGCCGTGTACACCAGCTATCAACAATATATCGACTATTAGCCACCGAGAACAAATAAAGATTTCCAAAATAACGTTCAGTAGACGCTGAATCAATGTGCTAAAGACAGTACTACAAAGGTTGCCTAGCACTATATCGACCATCTTCAAAGCACTCACCCATTAATTTATTGACTGTTGGCCACCGATAACTTCCATAAATTTCCCTAATAACCTTCAGTATGTGCTGAATCAACGTGCTAAAACGGCATAAAACAGGTTTTCCATCACTGTCTCAACCCTCTTGAAATAACAAATCTATTCATTATTGGTCAGTGATAACCAAAACAGATGTCCTTAGGAAAGGCTACAAGGATAAATTAAAGGGTGTTACACAGTGTTAAAAGAAAACTATATTTCACATTAACAATGTTTTGTATACTATTATCTGAGATGTTATTTATGTACCTTGCCAAATGAGTATTCTTCTTGCTTCAGGGAAACGGGCGATTCTAAATACAGGCACTTGTGCGATGGGCGGTCCCATCACATTTGTTTGCATTAGGGCGTGCACTTGTCACAGCCGCCCTGTCAATTTAGAAGTGTGGCAGCTTGGGCTAGTTGGTATGGCATGACGATAGTTATAGCGCGAGAACAAAACGATGACACAGAGACAAGTGTCCTTCTTGTCTCTGTGTCATCGTTTTGTTCTCGCGCTATAACTATCGTCACGCCCTGTCAAATTGAGAATAATCTCAAACAATGATTGATATGTGTGGTTTAAGTCCCTAAACCAGTATATGATTATAAGAGACGCCACAGTGGAGGAGTCTGGAAATTGTGAACACCTAGGGTTTTTTAGCGTCGGCCGAAGTCTGAGCACAGGGGCCTCTAGCGTTTTCGCCACCATCAAAGATGCAGCCGCGGCAGCCGGGATTCAATCCCGCGACCTGCGGGTCAGCAGCCGAACACCTCAGCCACTAGACAACTGTGGTGGGGCAATTATCTCTAACAGACACTAATACTTAAAAGCTTCAGTATACTTCAATTAGGCTTTTTATATTGCAGTTCTTAAACGCGCCACATGCTTGACATTGTGTTAGCCACAGCGAGGCACTATGATAGGTTCACTGAAAATTTTATTATATGCAAAGTGAACAATTGTTCAAAATATATATTTTAGAATTGAGCCAAGACTTTTAGTACTCGTAAGCTATATTGGCAGCTGCAGCTTTTGACTGCAGTTCCCAAATATTTTGTATGAGTTCCCTTCAAATATAGAAGAACACAATTTCAAAGTAAAACGTTTATTTTGAGTACCACGTGTGCTCGAATGTACAACTATGAGTGTCTAGATGTAACACAGAACATCAAAAAGGCATTTCATGCAGGACTGCTCAGAGCATGGCACAACGCCAATTAAATAGAAAGGTATGACCATTTACGAATAAAAAAATAATGATAATAAGCAAATTATGTATAAGACGGGATTTCAAATAGTAAAACCTCTTTTCCTCTCTCGCACAA